AGTGACATGGTTTCCATATGTGCACTCGTGTTGTCTTTCCTCCTTTTTTTTTTTTTGGCTAATAGTTGTGAGTATGGCGCGTCGTTGTTTACTTTCTTGAGGTTGTCGGTTTGTTATTATTTTTTTGCGCTAATATGCGTCTCAGTCTGTCATGCACCAGCAACTCACTCATTTGCATGAATTGCACTCATCGGATGAATTGCAAAACACTTATTGGATGAATTGCAAACACTCAAATCACTCATTGGATGAATTGCAAAACAGGCGAGTAAAAGCAGGAGACCGCCAATCTTCCAAGCCGCACTTGTGACCTATTCCAGCACTATGTAACAAACAGTTAAGGCTACTAAATATTAATACCCGAAGCATTGTGAATAAAACTGAAGCGTTCGAAGTGCTTCTGCTGCAACATGATCCACATATTACGGTTGTTACCGAGGCTTGGCTACACGAGCATTTGCCTAATGGCGACGTCTTCCCCCCATCCTATAGAGTTTTTCGTAAAGACAGACGCACTAGAGGAGGAGGGGTGGCTATATTGATAAAACAGTATATCGATGCTGTTTTGTTGGATCATCTTGTTGACATAGAATGTTTATGTATTAGGGCTACATTCTGGGGTCATTGTCTTGTTGTAATTGGGTTGTACAGACCCCCAGACATTACTCCAGAATACCTTAGCACACTGAAAAATTATATGACCAAATTTGAGAGTAAAAAAGTCTTACTGATTGGTGACCTGAACTTGCCTGGAGTAGACTGGGAGCGTCTTGACGCCGGCATTAACACTTCAAAACATGTTAACATAATGTTTGACATCATGCTTATACATGACCTATTGCAGGTACCTACGAGCCTACAGAGGGATTCCACCTCAATATTAGATCTTGTGTTTCTGAACCGCAATTTCTCCGAATATACAGTAGAGGTAGGACAAGGTCTTTCTGATCATAGCTATGTCTTCACTTCCTTTCCTCTTGTTCCACTAACTGGCCATAAAAACCCGGTATTTCGCTGCTTTAAAGACTTTTCCAGGGCTAATGATGCTGACCTAATTGAACACCTAAAAACATGTCTTACAAATTTTGATGATATAAATGTTAGCGCGCTTTGGACACGATTCAAACAAATGTGTCATTTTCGTTTAGATAATTTTGTGCCTTTTAAGCACACAAAAGTTAACAAACAAACTCCATGGATAACTCACAACGTCATTCATATGAAGCGCAAAGTTAAGCGACTGAAAAAAGGCGGGCAACGGCTGATTTGTTACATGATGTGCACAACTGTCTTTCTCAAACTGTCCGCAGCTCTAGGGAGTATTACTTTAAAACCTCATTACCTAACTTTATTGCAAATAACCCCAGTAAATTTTTGGAGTTTTATCAGTGAAAAGAAAAAGACCTGTATCCCAAATATCAATTGATGGAACCAACGTCGCCGATCAGAGAATTGCCCGGCATTCTTATCAATATTTCCAGAGTGTGTTCAACACTTCTGATTTCAACTGTATATCTAATGCTACAGCCTTTCGTTATGCTGAAGCACTGTTTATTTCTTATCCAGGCGTGGTGTCTATGTTGCTAAATTTAAAAACTAAGGCATCCTGTGGTCCTGATAACATACCAAACGTATTTCTACGACGATATGCTTTATCTCTAGCAAAGTTTTTGGTTATTATTTTTCGCTGTTCTTTGTTGTCTTCCCAGCTGCCCAGTGACTGGAGGACAGCCCGCGTTGTACCCATCTTTAAAAAGGGGGACCGCTTAGCACTAGGAAAGTACCGTCCAATCTCACTAACTTCACAATGTTGTAAAATTATTGAACACATCATAGCTACTAGTATAAACAAGTGTATTGAAGAACGCTCTATATTAACCATGTATCAACATGGTTTTCGAAAAGGATTATCCACCTTAACTCAACTCGTCACACTGTTTCACTCTCTTGCATTAAACATCGATAGACCCTGTAGGACAGATATGCTCTTCTTAGATTTCTGCAAAGCCTTCGATGAAGTTTCCCATAGTAAACTCATTTCCAAACTTAGAACAATAGGTATATCCGAAATAGTCGTTTGTTGGATTTCTGCGTATTTAAATAATCACGAAGTGTACGTTGATGTAGGGGGCCAATATTCGGACTGTCTTCCGGTCACATCGAGCATACCACAGGGCAGTGTGAGGCCCTTTCCTTTTTCTATTCTACATCAATGATATTGTTGATGTTATTCACCCTAGTGTGGAAATAAGATTGTTTGCAGATGATTGTGTTTTGTTCAAAGAAATACGTTCCACTAATGATTTCAATGATCTGAGCACTAGTCTTTGCAATATATATGAATGGTGCAACAAATGGGGAATATCTCTCAACGCGAACAAATGTATGTGCCTTCCAGTGACTCGCCAAAAGAATCCACAATCGTATACATACATATTGGGGTCTTCACCACTGCAACAAGTAAACTCCTACAAATACCTTGGTGTGACACTCACTTCCAACTTATCTTGGAATCTCCGTATTGATAATGTTTGTTCAGTTGCCTTTTGTAAACTATGTCTTCTTAAACATAAATTTCAAAGTGCTCCCTTGAATGTTAAACTACTTTGTTACACAGCCCTTGTGCGGCCAAAACTAGAGTACGCGAGCATAGTATGGGATCCTTATACAAAACGTAATATATACACTCTTGAGCGTATTCAAATAAAAGCTGTTAGATTTATATTCAACAAGTACTCGAAGTTAGACTCACCCTCAGATTTAATGCTAGTCAAAAACATTTCCTTACTGCAGGTGCGAAGACAAAAAGCTAGATTAGAATTTTTTGATCAACTATTGAACAAAAAAAATAGCTCTAGACCCACCCCCCTATTTGACACCCCTTAGTAGACGGCCCACCCGACACCACCACCCAAAGGCCTTGATCCTATATTTTGCTCGCACAGACCTACTGAAGTATTCGTACTTTTCAAGAACCATATGTGAATGGAATTGTCTAACTAAGACATGTGATGAATGAACTAACCTACCAAACAACCTTCTTCGCCCGTTATTGTTTCGCTTCGCAATTACTTTATTTGTATGTGTATTACCACCCTGCTTGGACCTCGAGTCTGTAGTATCGAATAAATAAATAAATAAATAAATTTAGAGACGCGTAGTCTTTTACAACACAGAAATCACCTCGATCCATTTTTCATAGACCTCGGTCACTGGAAACTCATGAAAAGTCACATCAGGAGTCTTCCCTTGCCTTGATTCGCAGAAAGGCACGTAGCACACCACCATCATGATGGTTAATTTGCACCAAGAAACCTCGCTTCGCCGGTGTACAAACTGCACCAACCTGCACGCTTCTGTCGCAGCTCGGCACGAGCAGACGGTAGTGAAAGATCGGCATTATAACTTTAAGTTTATTCAAAAAGAGGTTTTTATTCATTTTAATCGTCCAGAGTGTATGCACGCGTAAACATTGCTGCTTTTCTCCCAGCGTCACGCGAGCAGACGAAAAAAAAAAAAGCGCGGTGACCCATGTTTTGGCCGCCAGCAACCTGTGCGGATGAGGTAAGTTGCAGCGCCACAGGGCGCATAGCGGCAGGCACCAATACCAAAAAGGGCGTGCTGGCGCTTCGCTCGCTGGGCAGGTCAGTAAAATACAGAAGGTCGTGTATGCGGGCCGCCATCACCACCCGTAGCCTCAAAACCAGCGCTTGCGGGCTACATGCGGGCCGCCATTACCGCACACAATTTCGGATTTTTTGCGTGCGGTCCGCGGGCGCCGACTTGCGTACAACGCATGTGTGGTGGCAGCCACCGCATCGCAAGTGCTCGCGGTGCGCTATTCTAAAACTCCTTATTAAAGTGTTGCGACCCTGAGCAGTATTGTGTTCTCGCCACGGCGACGGTTAATGCGTGCCATGCGGCTCGCTAAGACCGAACCCACGCTAGTGGCCGTACTCCTTCGGGATGCGTGTACACTACAAGTTTACCGATAAAACTGTCGGAAGCTTCGTTGCACTCATCATCATTCTCTCCATGGATATGCTGTGATTTCTTTCGATTATACAATGCCCAGATTATGCGACGGTTCTGCGTGGTCCTCTGAAAGTCATGTAATTGTGGTTCCACTATTCTACAAGCAGTATTATTTGATCTGAAAGGCTCTAATCTCAGCACAGATGTACTCTTCCTCCAGCAACATTGAGAACTGATAGCAAGCAATGCCATCAGCTCTGTTGGCTATGCATCAAAGCTGTCATCGTCTTACTTTTGTAAGAGTTGCTGCAATTTTGTTTAACCACCTTGATTTGGAGCTTGTCAACTTTTTTTTTTAAATAACAAGCCATTACAATGAGATGATGAGGCATTATACTGCTTCCCTATATATTTGTAGCACGTTGGGTGCACCTACGTCATGAGTGGCTTGTCCTGGCATTCTCGCTCTCATGATACACAAGCCAAGTCATCAGTAGCATTGCTACACATATGTGTGGCCGTGCCGAGCAGCAGTGCACATCATTTCTGAGGCGCCGTATTGCAAAAGTATGTCGCTCCGGCGACCTCGAAATCTCAGCGACCTCGAAACTTCGCACTTGGTTGCATGAGCATCGGACCATTACACTATGCATAAACAGCTTCACTTTAATGCATACAATACAAGCCTATATTACCATTTTTATGAAGTAATATCTTTTAAAACAAAGAAACGAAAAATATTTCTATGCTAATAAAAAAAATTGTTGACCGTGTACAGCAATCAACGGTCACATGGCCAAGTACATCAGATCATTCATGATTTTGCCGCCAGAGGCACCACAGTGCAGAAATGAAAATATAAATCCACCTCTCACAAGAAAAAAAAACAGCGTTGGTTTGACTCAGTGTGATGGACAATCTTTCCATCTGTGGATTCATTTCATGTTCTGGGCAGTTGTCTGTCCCTTTAATGCAGCTATGTCAACAGCTACCACATTAGTATGAACTCTTTTTGCCTGTTCCAGGTGCAGCTGCAACCATGCCAGTTGAGTTTGACCGCAAGCCGGACACCAAGGCGGCTGCAGTGCAGCAGCACCCTGTGGCCCCACATTCCACAGCCACACGAAAGGTGCTCCCACTAGCTTATCCTAAGTATTGTTTCAAGGGGTCCTGCGACACTTTTTCAGCATTGTCGGGAAACGCTGCCAATTGGTAATCGAGGATCCTGAGAATACCCAAGCCAAACATTGTTGCACTGCATGCGTCCTGAAATTTGCCATTAATTCTAAAAGTTTTTGAGATATCGTTTCCTTTTTCCTCGACAAAGGATACCATATATCCAATGGACAGGGCCATTTATTGAAAGTTTGTGGCCATTAGCTGATTTGAGCATCATGAGCTGCGTAATCACCACGGCCGCCTTGTGCTCTTGCAACCGCTCGCAATCGCGTCAAAAGCAAGTCGCGCATTCAAACAACAGAAGTGCCAAAGGTCGTAATGCGCACTGACGAAGGCCTCTCCCTGTGTAGCTTTCAGTGCACTCACTAGTACGAAAGGAGAGAGAAAGTGCCTGAAGCGTGTGACAAATGCTTATCAATAGGATGGAAAGGTGGGCTAGTTGGTAATTCATGATGGTTCAGCGAACTGGGAGCGCGGGGGTAAACACAGACACAAAGCAAAAAGGAGGCACACAGCACAAGCGCTCGTGCTGTGTGCCTCCTATTTGCCTTGTGTCTGTGTTTACCCCCGCGCACCCAGTTCGCTGAACCATGATGCTTATCACTCTGCTCATACTTGATGAATTCTGCAAAATTTTGCGAAAGCAAATTTGCGTGCCAATGAGCTTTTTTAGTGAAGTCATTCGACAATTACCTGAACAGGTGTTGCTGGGCACCAATAAAGTGACACCCAGAATGGTACCTTCTCTTGACAGAGCCATAGTAATAATGCACCAGACAAATCTAGACAAGAGCGGGGACACCGAATTTCTGAACCCCTGGTCTTTTTTTTTCCTTAAGCAGTGAAAGAAGACGTCAACGTCTTCTTTCACGCTGACACAGAGCTGGCGCCACTATGCTTCGGTACAATTACTCCCCGCGCAGAAAGGAGCCAACCTGGCGACCTAGGGAAAGGACACGACAAGGGGGTCATAGCACGGTTTGAGGCGTGATACGTGTACTGTTTCACGCCCACGGCAGCGTTGGTCCGAAGGTGGATCAATGGGCTCAACTTCATAGTTGACAGGAGATGTTTGCCGCACCACACGGTAGGGGCCATGGTATTTCGACGAAAGCTTCGGGGAAAGACCGGGAGGGGTAGACGGGACCCAGAGCCAAACCAGCATTCCTGGGTTATAGTGTACAGTAGACGCAGAGGAATCGTGGTCAGTTTTCTGGCGCCATTGGTCTTGTGCGGTAAATGAGCGAGCGAGTTGACGACACTCTTCGGCATAAGCAGCTGCTTCGGAAACAGGCGTCGCTTCGGAAACATCAGGCCTGTAAGGGAGAATGGGTGTCCATGGAGCATGATGGCTCACGTCCGTACAGGAGGAAGAAAGGAGAAAAGCCAGTGGTTGTTTGTGGCGCAGAGTTGTATGCGTACGTGACAAAAGGGAGCACTTGGTCCCAATTAGTGTGGTTGTCAGAGGCGTACATGGCAAGCATATCTCCAAGGGTACGATTAAAGCGTTCCGTCATGCCATTGGTTTGAGGATGGTATGCCGAGGATTTCCGATGGACAGTGCGACATGCCTTGAGTAGCTCGTCGACGGCATTCGAGAGAAACACGCGTCCACGGTCACTCAGTAATTCACGAGGTGCACCGTGTCGCAAAATGAGATGGTGAAGAAGAAAGGACGCAACGTCTTTCGCAGTGGTAGCAGGCAGCGCAGATGTTTCAGTGTAGCGTGTCAAATGATCCACGGCGACGATAATCCACCGGTTGCCTCGAAGAGAGTTGGGTAGAGGACCATAAATATCAATTCCGACGCGGTCGAATGGTTTCGCTGAGCAGGTTAAGGGTTGCAAAGGGCCAGCAGTGCTGTGAAAAGGCGTCTTACGTCGTTGACACGTGGTGCATGACGGAACGTACTGGCGAACGTGCCGATACATGCCGCGCCAGTAGTATCTTAGACGAAGGCGAGAGTAAGTCTTAAATACTCCAGCGTGGCCACACTGGGGGTCATCATGAAAGGCAGCGCAGATGTCCGAACGCAAATGACGAGGGATGACAAGGAGCCACCTACGGCCATCCGTCACGTAATTGCGGCGATACAACAAGCCTTCACGGACAGCAAAGTGTCTTGCTTGACGAGAGAGGGAGCGTGAAGTCGTTTCTGACGAACTGTGAGAGAGGACGTTGAGCAAAGAATTGATCCAGGGATCCTTGCGCTGTTCGGATGGCATGTCAGTGATGCTCAACGATGACGAATCGCAAATGGCACTTGATAAGCAGGCAAGGTAGAAGGCAGTGGAGAACGGGATAGTGCATCGGCGTCTGAATGTCTGCGTCCTGAGTGCTAAACAACACGGATATCGTATTCCTGAAGGCGTAAATTTAGCCCAACGAGCGAGACGGCCAGTAGGATCTTTCATGGATGCTAACCAGCATAAGGCATGGTGATCTGTGACAACATCAAACTGGCGTCCGTAAAGGTAGGTGCGAAATTTTCCTATAGCCCAAATGATAGCCAAGCACTCCTTTTCCGTGACGGAATAGTTGGACTCTGCCTTCGTTAGTGTACGGCTGGCATAGGCGACAACGTACTCGTCGCAGCCATCCTTGCGTTGAGCGAGAATGGCACCGAGGCCGACACCGCTTGCATCCGTGTGAATTTCAGTGGGTGCATTGGGATCGAAGTGGCGGAGAGGTGAGTAGCCGGCGTAGCGCCGTGAATGCCTCATCGCAGTGGGAATTCCAGCCAGAGAGGTCCGCGCTACGAGAGAGAAGCTGAGTCAGAGGGGCACTTATAGAGGCAAAATTGCGAATGAAACGCCGAAAATAGGAACACAAGCCTACGAAACTACGAAGCTCCTTTAGGGTAGTAGGCTTGGGGTACTCGGCAACGGCACGCAGTTTGGCAGGGTCTGGCGATATTCCTTCTTCTGAAACGACGTGGCCGAGAATTGTGACTTTGCGGGCGCCAAAACGACATTTCTTGAAGTTTAGTTGCAACCCGGCTGCCGTAAGGCACTGGAGAACTTGTTCCAGACGGGAAAGATTAGTTTCGAAATTCGCCGAGAATACAACTATGTCGTCTAAATAGCAAAGACAGATGTGCCATTTAAGTCCCCTGAGGACACTGTCCATCGTTCTTTCAAAAGTCGCAGGCGCATTGCAAAGACCGAAGGGCATTACATTAAATTCATATAAGCCGTCAGGGGTCACAAACGCCGTTTTTGGACGGTCTGGTTCAGCCATTGGCACTTGCCAATATCCAGAGCGCAGGTCCAGTGAAGAAAAAAACTCCGCACCTTGAAGGCAATTTAAGGCGTCATCAATGCGTGGCAGGGGATAAACATCCTTGCGTGTGATGTTGTTTAGTCGACGATACTACACGCAAAACCTGATGGAGCCATCCTTTTTTTTCGCACGAGGACCACTGGCGAAGCCCAAGGACTGTGTGAGTGCTGAATAACACCACGTTGCAGCATCTCGTGGACGTGTTGAGTGATGACGTCACGCTCAGCCTGCGAGACGTGGTAGGGGCGCTGACGAAGTGGAGTATGATGACCGGTGTCGATATGGTGAGCGACAACTGACGTGCGTCCCAAGGGAGGTTGTCCATGGTTGAAGGAGGCGCGGAAACGGTCAAGTAGTTGAATGAGCTGATTGCGCTGGTCTTGCGTAAGTCCGGTGTCTACGCTGCGCAACAGAACGTCTTCGTCAGGTAGTGCGGGCGCGGTGGCAGCTGTGACAGCATCCACGGACATCGGTGTCGCATCAGAACAGGCATCGAAAGGAAAGATGTCATCATAAGTGTCAAGACTCCCTATGCATTCGCCATGCAATAAGGTAGCGGGACAAGGGAACGGATTGCACACGTACACGGCACTGGAGCCATCGGCAAGTGTTATGATGGCAAACGGGACGACAAGGTTCCGGCGACGAGCGCATTCTTGTGACGGCATAAATAGGGCAGTTGAATCGCAAACGGAGTTGCACAAAAGAGATACCGCGGCGACCGAAAAAGCAGAAATGACGACGTCAGCGGCGACGATCACCTTTTTGGGTGAGCGAGGGAGATCTATGAATGCCGTACTGAATGGAAACAAAACGAGTTGAGCACGAGCGCTGTCAACAACCGCATGATTAGCGGAAAGAAAGTTCCATCCCAGGATGATTTCATGAGACGCATGCGGAAGGACGACAAATTCAACGATGTAAAGCACTCCTTGAATCACAACACGAGCAGTGCATGTGGCAGAAGGTTGGACGTGTTGCGAACTCGCTGTGCGTAAAGATATTTCAACCAGTGAAGTCGTCACTTTGTTCAGTTTGCGGCATAACACTTCACTGATTATACAAATAGCGGCACCTGTGTCGACAAGAGCAGTTGTGGCGAAACCGTCCACAAACACGGCAATCTCGTTAGGGGGCGAAAGATGAGGCCTTGGAAATTTCGTCGGTGGCGCAGCTCTTGCCTCAGGAACTGCGACTGTTAGTTTTCCTCCTGGGCGTGGTTGGAACGGCGAAGCATGGGGGAAGGAGACCGAAGACGGGTTGAAGGAGATCGACGTCGGCTGAAGTCTGTTCGACGTGAGCGGGGTCATGTGAATCAGGTATCACATGCGATTCTGATTGCCGAGGTATGTTGCCGGAATGCTGCACATCATTAAAACAGAATCCACGGCGACGACAGTAGCGTGCGACATGTCCTGGAATACCACAGTTGTAGCAGACGGGCCGGTTATCGGGAGTACGCCAAGAGTTTACAGGTGCTCGAGGGGGTGGAAAGGGTCGATTTGCCGGATAAACTGAAACTGGTGACCTGTAGTAGTTGGGGGCTGGACTGTATGAAGGGAGCGGCGGTTGGGCAGGAGGTCGGCGGACGGCTTCTGCATAAGTTAGCGGTGCAGCGCGGTGCAGCCACTGATATTGGGGATGCGGGCGAAGGGAGAGCCTCAGCAA